AGGGACCATGTCACACACATGTGTCATTTCTTTGTGTTGGAAACATCCAAAGTCCTCTCTGGGAGTTGCTTTGAAATATTCAATTGAAGCCAGGGGTCGCGGCCCACAGCCTGTAATCTTAGAGGCTCTGGAGGCTGAGGCGGGAGGATCGCAAGGTGGAGGCCAGCCTCAGACACTTATAGCAAGGCCCTGAGCAACTCAGCGAGACCCTGTCTCTCAATAAAAAATAAAAAGGGCTGGGGACGGGGTTCAGGGGTTAAGTGTCTCTGCATTCGATTCTGGATTCCAAAAACTAAAAAGAGAGGAAACCCCCCAGTAGCTCAGAATATATAGGCCAAAGTCCTTCCTTGAGGGTCTCCAAGATCCATTTTTCTGCATATTTCTGTGTCACTCTGTTGCTGTCCTTCTCTTTATTCTGCTCCAAAAGTATCAGTCATGGTCTCTGCCTCAGGGGACATCTTAGCTCATTTTCCGTTGCTATAACAAAGTGCCCGAGGCCAGTTACCTTATAGAGCAAAAAGGTTCATGTGACTCAAAGTCTTCAGTATTGTGAAGCGTGACAGCAGCATCTGCTCAGCTTGACGTCCCCTTGGCCACCTCATGTCATGCCAGATGGCATCCCGGGAAGGTGGGGTGGGGGGAAGGCTTGTGAAGGGGAGAGATCACACAATGAGACAGGAGGCCCAGGCTGACAAGTGCCCGGCTCCCTCTGATAACAGGAGCTACCTGGGTTCCTGTCTAGGGGACACCCCTGTCACTCTCCTCCAAGGGCTCCATCACCTCGACCCCACCCCACTAAGGACCCGACGCACCTCATGAACCCTTCACATGCTCCAAATGACCACAGGGCCTTGGGACTTCCTCCCTTCCAGAATGTTCTCTGGGCTCCCTCTCTTTCCAGTGGGTATGTCAGGGGGGGCCATCCTGAGGTTCACTCCTCCCAGAATGCACAGCTCCTGTCTCTGCTTGGTTTTTCTTATCCCTCTCCAGTGGACTTGTATTATTGTTGTTGTTGTGGAGGCTGGCCTCCAACTTGCAATCCTCCTGCCTCAGCCTCCCAAGTCACTGGGCTCATGGGCATGCGCCACCGCACTTGGCTGTTTTAATTGTTTTGCAGTCAGGATCATCTTCTGTTCAGAGTGGACATCTTACTGGATGACCCCGTCGGGGAGTTGGTCCTGGTGCACATGTCACCTCTACTTGAAAAAAAGGGGTGCCCTTGTGCAGGGTTGGATGTTTTGTTCTAGAAGTGTCAAGACTGAGTCAAGAGTGTTGCTTAGACACTTGTCATTCTGCTATCCCCCCCCATTGTGTATGAGCACCCACATATCAGAGAGGACACTCAGCCTTTGGTTTTGGGGGACTGGCTTATTTCACTCAGCTTGATCATCTCCAGCTCCATCCATTTATCCAATTACCAGCCAATGCCGCCATTTCATTCTTCTTGATGGCTGCGTAATATTCCACTGTGTATATGGACCCTAGTTTCTTTATCCGTTCATCTGTTGAAGGGCACCTGTCAATTTTTCGGAAACGGGTGTTAAAATCTTCAACTACATTTTTGGACTTATTTTTCCCTTTATTTGCATACTTTTTTTTTTTACTTTGAGAAATTTAAAACTCTCATTAGACTGTATGAGATGCGCACAGTTTGGTACCATTGTGTCTCTGACAGATGCCCCTTTGTCATTATCTTTAGTTTGGTTGTGAGATCGGTCTTGCTGTGCTGCCCAAGCCAGTCTCTAACTCCTGGGCTGAAGAGATCCTCCTGACTCAGCCTCCCCAATATTAAATGTCATTTATTTCTTGTAGCTCTTTATTTGGAATGGCTCCTTGACCTGAAATTACACTCTATCATTTACATACTTTGTCATGAATATTTTATATGTATGTATAATTCATGTCCTTTCTTCCTGTTTGTATCCTTACAGTATATCTCGGTGGATGGCATATATTTGGGTCTTATTATTATTTATTTTGGTCTAGTCTCTTTTAATCTGATATCTGGCTTTTAACTCAATCATTTAGTGAATTTATGTTTCCTTATTTGTTTATTTATGGATCCTGAGGATTGAACTCCTGAGCCCCGTCCCCAGCCCTTTTGATGTTCTATTTAGAGACAGGGTCTCACTAAGTTGCTGAGGCCGGCCTCCAACTTGCAGTCCTCCTGCCTCAGCCTCCCGATCCTCTGGGATGACAGCAAGCGCTGCTCTCTGGGTCTCAGGTGGCTTGTCCCCGCGGATCTGCTGGGGGCTGGTTCTGTGGGTCCCTCTCCCTGTCCCTGTCCTCAGTGATCCCCCCCATTCACGCACCCTTGTCCCCACAGCTGCAGATCTGGGACACGGCCGGCCAGGAGCGCTTCCGCACCATCACCCAGAGCTACTACCGCAGCGCCAACGGCGCCATCCTGGCCTACGACATCACCAAGCGGAGCTCCTTCCTGTCGGTCCCTCACTGGATCGAGGACGTGCGCAAGTACGCAGGCGCCAACATCGTGCAGCTGCTGATCGGTGAGCTGGGGGGGCCACAGACTGCCTTTGCCCCGCCCCCTT